GCGCGCGGCGGCCGGCTCCCTCCAGGGGCGCCGCGGGAGGGTGGGGTCCCGGGCTGGGCGAGGCTTCCTGCGGGCACGGCGCGCGCGGAGCCTCGGCTCCGGGGCTCCGGGCTCTGCAGTTTCTCCGTCCTCGCGCAGCCCGGAGAAAAACTGGACGGCCGAGAAGGAAAAGAGGAAACGTCTTCTGTAGGGCCCTTCGCACTGCTGCGGCGGGTCTGGTGGGAAATCTTAATGATGGAAAGACGTTGGTGAAGGAAGCCCAGGAAAGGCTACCTAGGGTAGAGTATTGGATTATAGTCAGAGGGCTCATTTGTTTTTTTGGTTTTGCTGGTTTCCTGTTTAACCTGAGGGTGCTCTCTCACACCGTCTAAACTTCATGGGACGAGGAAAGGAGATCCAGTTCGACAACTTGTCCAAGGTCACGGAGCAAGGAGATTGACTCTATACCTGTATACTAAATCAAAGCCGCTCTGGGTTTTCTTTCTTTTCAGTCATGTGAAGCGATGCGTCCTAATATTTGATGCTATGGATATTGTGTCACAAGAAATTAGTGAAAAATCCGTGGAGACGGAAAATAGACTGGTGGTTGCTAGGAGGTGGGGTGGGGGGGATGGGATGGGGAGTGGCTGTTAGTGGGTAGGAGCGTCTTTAGTGTAGGGAAAATGTTCTGCAGTTTGATAGTGATGACACAAACTCTGAGTATACTAAAATACCACTGACTTGTACCATTTGACCAAGTCAGCTTTGTGATACGTGTGTGAATTGTGTGTGGATAAGGCTGTTACAAACTATGTCAAGAGTGAGAGTGCTGTGGGTTAACCCACACAAACACATGGTTGGGGTATGTCACAATTCTGTTCTTAGTGGGCAAAAACTGTGGTTTATATGCATGCATGCATGCATTCATTCATTCATTCATCCGATAATCCATGCCCATCTTTACCAGGTACTCTGACAGGGGTACAAAGATTAAAAATGCATGATTTCTGCCTTCAAGGAGTTCCCAGTCTACTGAGGGGGCGGTCATTATAGTACAATACGGTAAATGTTATTCCAGGGAGGTAATCAAAGTGCCAGATTTAGGGTACTTAAAACCAAGGGAGGGACGTTTGCACCATTATGGAGGCGCTGGAGTACATGACAGAGTTTGCCAATGGCTGATGTGCTGGGTGTGAGAGGTGTGGCAGAAAATGCAGCCAGACTGTTACAGGAGAAAGTCTCACCGTGTATTAGAGCTCAGTTCAAGACGGACACCCTAATGAAAAAGTGAAAACTGAATTCCTCTTTGTCTTTCCTATTCCTGCCACAGTGTGTGATTTTGGTGAATGGTCTCCGTATAAACCCAGTTTGGTTACCTCATAGAGAGCAACAGTTGCATCAACTGACCTTTGTTTCTACCTTTATAGTAGAGTAGTACAGTACCTTTCTTTCCTCTGAAGCTGGAGAAGTTGAGGGGATGCACTCAAGGCTTTACGGCTTCTATTCTAAGTGATGGATCTAGGATGACTCCATTTCCAGGCTGAGTCCCACGTTCTTGACATTGTCAGCCTTGCAAGTTGTGAAGCTTCCTTAGAAGCGCAAAGAACTCTTGAGCTAAAAAAGCTGTTTGAGCAGCAGCAAGTGAAACCTGTTTTTACACTTGGAGTTGATCTACTTTTGGATTGGGAAGTAGGGATATTATAGGCCCTAAGGGGAGAAAACAAACAAACAACATAGCCAGCTGATCCCCTTAGCTCCTCAGGAAAATCCCGGATTCTGGATTTGTAAGAGTGGCCTTGCAGTTGGAAAACCGGAGGCTACCTATCTGTATTGTCAGCATGCGATTGTCAGCATCAACAGCACTTTCCTTCTCCACCTTTCCTTCTATCTATCCCTCTCGGGTTTGTGAATACCTTTTGAAAGCAGAGACTGGGCTTTGTTAATTTCCTTGCTTCCCCTCCCCACACTTAACAACCTCCTCCCTCTTAACCCTCCCCTCTTCCCCGCCCTCCCAGCCTCAGAGCTTGGGACCCAGTAGCCCCTCAATGAATGTTTGCTCAATATTCAATGTTGTTTTACTGGCAAAAAGGGAAACGTTTTTCCCCACACTAATTGTTTATAGTGCTGATATACATTATGAATTTGGGGTATCAATTGGCCTATATAGCATGTACATTCTACAGCTTTGGGACACGGTTGCAAGAACATGAGAGAATTCATACATTCCACATTTTAACAAGCTGTGAATTGAACTCTACATCTGAAGCCTGAATTTAAGTTAGTTTCAATCTAATAGAACACAATATTAATATTTTAACAGTAAATAAGCTAAGTACTTGAGAGCAGAATAATTTTAATATTTATTATAGAATTTTTTTTATCGCTGAGGAGATAATTTGCTAGTAGTTTCAAAGGTCTTCAAAATCTTTTCTAAATCTTCCTTTTTTTTTTCTTTTCCTTTTTCAATTCCTCCTTTTAGTCTCATTTTAATCTTTCACAGTATTCTGTTATCTAATTAACACCTCAGCATTACAATACTATTTTCCATAAATTTCTGTGTTAAAAATCTAGGGAATCCTAAAAAATGGGGTCAGGGGGAGAATGGGTGCTGATCTCCCTGGAGTCTAAGGCCTGGAGAAAACCAAGAAGCCCGTAACTATTCCTTTTGCAGGAACAGATGTTGTCCCTCCCGGAGGAGTTATTATGGGTTGGAAGAAATGAGATAATAAAAATAAACAAGCAATACTGTGAATGTTATCAAACATCATCAGCACCAGCCAGATAGATCCCTAAATAAGTATTCTTTACCAATAAAAGCAAAAGCAGATGAACATGACAGTTTTCTAAATGTATTCAGAAAAAGGAACAATTTGAGCAAAATAGCCAACCTAACTGGGCTACACATGAGCCACTCCTTGGGAAGGTGGAAACTGTTGTTGGTTCAGCCTCCCTGGCCATCCGCAGTCAACCCTGCCCCAGAGCCTTTGCCGCCTTCTTAAACAGACAGCCTTCTTCCTTTCCAGGTCACGTGGCAATCTACTGCCCCTTAGGATATTTATGGGATCTGTTTTATGGGTGAAAAGCCAACCAAAGATAGGACAAGGGGAAGAGCCAGAATCCTCCCCTGCTTAGCTGTCTGCCAGATCCTGGGGTTTCCAATCAGTTAGCCCCGGGCCTCCTTGCCGTTCTAGGAAAATCAATCTGTGGCAAAATTTGAGGAAAGGAAGGGTACCAGCAGATAATGATTACAAAGGTATTTAACCTGATGAAAAAGAACAATTTTGTAGGTAGTATAAATGTGAAAATTAGGAACTTTTTTCTTTAAGTCAAACATAATGCTACAATTGCATACTCCAAACAATTAATGGTGGGAAACTATTTATTCCCTAGCTCTGTCTGATTAGGGAAAGCTTATGATGAAGGTGGATTTTGAGTTGACAATGAAGGATGTGTGAGGACCACTAGTCAGAACGAGGGGAGTTTGGAGTGGGCAGCACCTGGAAAGTCCCAGTGTGTGCATAGGTATGTGGCTTCAGAAAAGTCACCGAAAAGGTGACCTGTGGATGAAGCGTTGAAAGTGACCTGTGGATGAAGTATGCAAATTTCTGTTTATCTAAACTGCTCACAGCTTCTCTGCCTTTGTGTATTTGCAGATTCTCTACTTCCACCTCCAGGAAAATAGATACATATTTAAGAGAAAAAGACACTGGCTTGAAGTAACTTAGCTGTTACCATAGAGAACAAGAAAATAAAAAATTTCACATTATGTGAAAGGAAAGTCAAGCGTGATAATTATTCAGAATAAACCACTCAAAAGGCTCTTCAGTAGAATAAAGAAGAACCGTTGTCCCAAAGGAAGCTACTGTTTTGACATTTAACTGGGAAGAGATCCAAAAATTGAGACTAGGAGTATAGCCCTTGCTTTTCTTTTGGAAGACTTCATGTGATAATTCAGAGAAGCTGATGTTTGTAATTCTAGTTACCTTCAAATGATAATAAAATCAAACAAAACCAATGGATGCATGTGTATAGGAGATTGACACTGAAATAATTTCTATCTTTTTAATAAATGACTTGATACATTTTCTTTTTATTAAATGCTTATTTATTTTTGAGAGAGAGGGAGAGAGGCAGAGGGAGGGGCAGAGAGGGAGAGGAGACAGGATCTGAAGCGGGCTCTGTGCTGACGACAGAGAGCTCATGCAGGGCTCCAACTTAGGTAAGATCATGACCTGAGCCAAAGTCAGCCGCTTAACCAAAATGAGCCACCCGGGTGCCCTGATACATTTTCTTAATGTAGCTCAACTTCCTTTAGAAATGAATTTTTAGAATCCCTTTTTATTTCTTACCTATTTTTGCCTAGTTACTAGACTAGTTGAAATGGTTCCATTTCTTTCCTGTATTATTGTTTTTCTGTCTTTGGCTTTTAGAATCATAGTTCATGACAGTGGGAATGACTTAGAAGAAAATTACCAAGATGTTAATCTTTGAAGAATCGCAAGGAGTGAAAGTGTGGCAGGAAGATGGGAAAAGATCAAACTTAAATTTAAATTTCCTCACTAGAAGGAGGTATGTAGTTTCTGCAAAGTAAGACTGATCAGCTTGATTAGGATTCTAGTGAGGGTCTAGATCACGTTATTAAAAGTCTAGATATAAGCACCTAATGGAAAGTAAGGACCACCAGAATCCAGCAGAGATTATTGAAGAACAAATCATGTCAGATTAACCCTCTGGATTTCCCCAGGTTACCCTGATAGGTCAGAAATGTATTAGACTAATGTCAATTGTCCCCTAATATCTATTTCCCCTCATCTTTTTTTCATTAGAAGTACCCCCTGAGTTACAGATGGAAGCATGGCAACTTAGGACTCCACTGTGGCTGGACATGGCCAGGTGACTAGCTTTTTTCTGGTCAGTGGGATGTGAGGAGGACTGATGTGTCCCACGTCCCAGTGGCTGCCTTCACTTCCTCCTTCCCTTTCCTGCAAACAAGCAGTGGTGAGAAAATTTCACCCAGGTAGCAAGAACAACACTCAGGGAATGGGGCAACAACAATATGGAGGGTCTCTGAGTCCCTCAATGACTTCATAAAGAAAAGCCACCTATCCTTCTGCATATTATAGATTAGAAATAAATTCATTTTGTTTCAGCCATTGAAGTTTGGAGTCTCCATGTTACAGCAGCTTAGGTTGTAGCCTAAGTAAAAAATATGTGAGCTTCAATAAGACATTTGCTTAGTCTCTTGCGATGTACTTCTATACAAAGAGAGGAAATGTGTATAAGACAAATACTTGAATTTGTAGCTGGAAGAATAACCTGACTCAGATTGAACTCACTGTGTTATACCCACGGTTACGGGATATTACTGTGAAAAGATCCAGATCAAAATCAGCTAAGGGAGAAAGCAGATGAGTCAGAGTTCAGAAGAGTTCCATGAATAGATCTGCTGTATGTCCTCTCTCATTAGAGTCCTGGACAGCACTAACTTCTCCCAACAAGTCAGTATGTGATAACATGCATTGAGCATGACTCCACAGAGCTTTGGTGTCTCTGGATTTGTTCCTGGGGCTTGTTCACATAGACCTGCAAAGCTGACCTTAGCATCCAGACCCTCCAGAAGTAGACCTGATACTACATGACCCAAAGCCCCCAGCCATAAATCACAATATTAGACTCTCTTGTGTGGCTCAAGGCATCTAGATAAATAAAGACACAATTATCAGGCAAGGCATTTCAAGAGAATTATACATCACCTTCAAGGAGCTGAGAACAAAGACCAGATCTCTTTTTGGGTAAGGTTAATCGTTTTATTACACAATAGATTTCAATCCATTGCAAGTTTTGTTATTTTTTTTTAATTTTTTTTTTTTAACGTTTATTTTTGAGACAGAGAGAGACAGAGCATGAACGGGGGAGGGTCAGAGAGAGAGGGAGACACAGAATCTGAAACAGGCTCCAGGCTCTGAGCTGTCAGCACAGAGCCTGACGCGGGGCTCGAACTCACAGACCACAAGATCATGACCTGAGCTGAAGTCGGACGCCCAACCGACTGAGCCACCCAGGCACCCCAGCAAGTTTTGTTATTTAAGCCTGAACTGTGTCGCCTTTGACCAAAGTGAGCTTCTTAAGTTGCTTCCTGGGTCCTTATGAGAAGATTTATTGATCTTGAATAGGTTCCTTGATTTTTAAATTATTTTAAATTATTTTTTTATCACAACATGCTCCAGGCACATCTGGTTTCTTTGGGAACAAATATTTGAAGACCATAGTCTGTATGCTAGGTATTTTCACTGTTACTGAGTTAGTTATTGTTTCTAGGGATTTTCAGTGGACAGAGTTAGAATGATGTGTATTCTCTCTCTATATATATGAAATAATACATGCAAAATGAAGATCAATTTCTTATGAGTATCATGTTGAAATTTACAATTGAAAAAAAAGTACTACACGACTTTTACTCAAGTTCTTCCACATTAAAAATATATCTTTCTTACACACCGAGAATTCTGGTTCTCAAGGATCAACCGAGAGGATAATTATTCATTTGTTTTATTTATAAACTACTGATACTAGGAATAGTACTACCAGTAGAATTACCCCAGGATGAAAGCAGTTAGAATGTGTTTCCATATGCTTTTCCCAGTGTTCCCCCAAATTGTTTACAGGTACTCCTATATATACATTGTTTTAGAGACGAAACGCATGTGGGAGTGAAGAAAAAGGGCAGAGAGAAAAAGAGAAAGAATCTTAAGCAGGCTGCACACTCAGCATGGAGTCTGATGTGGACTCCATCCCACGACCCTGGGATTATGACCTGAGCCAAAATCAAGAGTTGAATGCTCAACCAACTGAACCACCCATGTGCTCATTTAGTCTTAGTTCTATAAGAAACTATACATTTAACTTTCACAATCAATCATACGACAATATCTCTCTAGTCATTTTGGTTATCTTAACCTCATTCTTTCTCAGATTCTTTAGGAAGAGCTCACAGAACAATGTTCTCTGCTCTCTTACATGTTGGTAACATTTTTTTCTATGTTGTTTCCACCTGAAAATCAGTTTTGCTGGATATAAAATTCTTGGCTACATCTTTTTCCTTGAGTATTTTAAATACATTGCTCCATTTTTTTTTTCTGGCATAAAACAGAGTGGTGGAGAAATTTAATGGCAATCTAATTTTTATTCTCTTATAAGTCATCTGTTCTTCTTTGTCTAGATGCCCAAAGACATTTTTTTTCTGTCTCTTTTCAGTCTAGTAATTTCACTAAGAAGACTCTTAGTGTTGGCCATTCTTGGTCTATACTTTCAGTTCCAAGTGTGTTCTTTCAATATATAGTTTCAAATGTTTTTAAAAATTAGTTTCTGGAAAGTTTGCATAAATTATAGTCTTTAGAGTTTGTTCTGTTCGCTTGTCCCCGTAGCTATACTTCCTCCCATCCTATCTATGCCCAGAGACTCCTATTATCTATGTTGTGTCTTCTTTGCCTAGCTTCAAAGTTTGTCATGATCTCTCAACTTTCCTTTATATCTCTTTCATTTTGTTCTGGAGTTCAAGTTACTTTAAACTTTATTTTATTATTATTGTTTTTAATGTTTCTGTTAAAGAGAGAGAGAGAGAGAAAGCAAGCAAGTGGAGTAGGGGCAGAGAAAGAGGGGAACAGAGGATCTGAAGCGGGCTCTGTGCTGACAGCAGTGAGCCCCATGCAAGGCTCGAACCCACAAACCATGAGATCATGACCCGAGCTGAAGTCAGATGCTCATCTGACTGAGCCATCCTGGTGACCCTCAAGTTACTTAAATTTTAGACATTACCTTTTATGTTTATTTGTTCTTGAGTTTCTTTTAGTTTAGTTTTTATTTCTGAAATTGCCTTTTTAAAATTTCTAATTCCTTCTTCAGTTCTGTCATTCTATTTCTGAATTTTTATAATTTTTATTTTTACTGTTCTTGCATTATTATCCTACTATTTTAGCTTGTCTTGAAATATTAGGTTACAATTTGGGTTTGTTCTGGAGGCATGTCTTTCTGGCATGCTTTCATTGTCTGTACAGATGTTATTTGCTTCTTATTCTTTTTTGTTTGTTTTCTTACAACAAACTTGCATTGAACTTGACCCCAATACGTCTGTGATGCTCATTTTTATGTGAAATTAGTTTTCTAGAATTGTTAGAAGGAAATAGAGTTCAGGAAGCCTTTCCAACTTTATAAAATTCTCTCTTTCGTTCTTTTCTTGAAGTGTCATAAATTAACAACTTTATTTATAATATTTTCTGGCACTGTTTCTCTCTCCCACTTCTCTGGACTGACTCTCTTTTTATATCTATTGTCGCTCTGCTTATCTGATTCTCCTCTCAGCTGTGTCTCCTTGGGAGCTCTGGCCTGTCAGTGGTCAGTTTTGAGCCTGTTCAGTCCCTTTACTCTTCTTTACCATACACCCCTTACACTTTCTAGCTGTTGGAGTGGGCAGAACCCCTCCCGGTTTCAGTGTATCGTCTCAGATTGGTCCGCCACACTTTCTGATGAGTACAATACTGGGATTTTCTTTTCTTGATTCTGTCAGATATCCCATTACTCTCTTCTGCTTCTTGCTGCACAGATGCTTTGTAATAAATATTGTCCATGGGTTTTCAGTTTTGCTAACCATTTACTCCGTCTGTTTTCATAAGAAATTTCAGGAAGTTTCAAAATATAGGATGATGATGCGACCATCATCTACCTATAATCTTAAGGTTCTTCTGTGGTTGAATCTATAGCATTGATAAGGAAAAGCAATAACCTAGTGGATACCCTTAACCTGGGCTAGATCAGCTTACTCGGGCTTCCATAACAAAATGCAATACATTGTGTGGCTTGAACTACAGAAACTTATTGCTCACAATTTTGGAGGTTGGGGAGTCCAAGGTCAAGGTGCTGGCCAATTTGGTTCCTGGTAAGGGCTCTCTTCCTAGCTCGCCGATAACAACCTTCTTGCTCTGTCCTCATACAGTCTTTCTACATGTGTGCATGTGGAGGGTGGAGGGGGAAAGAGAGATTGTTCTTCTTTTTCATATAAAGCCACTAAATCCCATTATGAGGGCCCCAC